ACTAAAAGAAGTTCTTTGCACTGAATACTAGTTAGCTCACCCTTGTTATTCAAATACACATACGATAATAAAGAAATAGATTTCATTGGAATAGTCCAACCATGTCACTAAACAAATGAGCATGCGAACAACCAAAACAAGTCCACGGGTGGGTGGGTGGTAAGATTATGATTCAGAGTTGCTAGAATATATTAATATTGTCTAAAATGTCCAGTTTTCAACAACAACAAAAAATTATAAGACATAAAAAGAAATGGAAAGTGTGAGTCATCCATATGGAAAAAGAACAGGCAATTGAAAGTCCGTGTGAGAGGACCCTGATGCTAGATTCAGCAGACAAAAACTTCAAATTTGTTATGTAAATGAAGAAAATGATGCTTACAGAAGTAAAGAAAGATATGATGGCACTGTCGTCAAATATAGAATTGTAATAAACAGAAATTATAAAAGAGAACTGAGTAGAAATTCAGAAAAGTATTTAATACAAGAGATAAAATAAAAAATTCACTAGAAAGGATCAACAGTAGATTTGAACTGTTAGAAGAGAGAAAACAATGAATTATAAGATATATTGGTAGGATGCAATCTGAAAAAGAGGGAAAAATATGAAGAAAAATGAATAGCACCTCAGAGTAATGTGGGACATCTTTAAGGGCACCAACATTTGCAAAAAGGGTGTATCAGAAGACAAGGGAAAAGAGAAAGAAGCAGAAATAGTATTAAAAGAAATGATGGCTAAAAACTTTCCAAATTTGATGAAAAACATCTAAGAGGCTTGACAAATTCTATGCAGGATAAACATAAAACATTCTACACCCAAACACATCATAGTTAAAACAGTAAAAATGTTCAAAGTCAGAGAAAAAGAGAAAATCTTGAAAGCACCAAGAGGAAAACAATACCAGGTGAACCCCAATAAAAATAACAGATAACTTCTCATTACAAACATTGGAAGCCAGAAGGCCATCGATAATATTTTTGAAGTGCTGAAAGAAAAAGTTATTCACCAAAAGTCTTACAAAGCAAAATTATCTTTCAAAAATAAGGTGAAATAAAGACATGTTCCTATAAATAAAAATTGATAGAATGTGTCACTCCCAGGCCTGCCTTATAAGGAATATTAAAAGAAGTTCTTTGCACTGAACACTAGTGAGCCCACACTTGCTATTCAAATGCACATGCGATACTAAAGAATGCTAGTAAAGGTAATTGCAAAAGAGAACATAAATCTGTATCTCTTTTCCTTTCTTCTCTTAAAGTATTTAGAAAATACTGATATAAAACAATATGTCTATAATAATATTATTAATTCTATAACATATGGAAATATATTTGAAAATAACAACACAAGAGGAGGGTGGTAACGAAACTGTACTAAAATAAGAAAATGATGCGACACAAATCCACACAAGTGAAGAAAACCAGGAAAGGTAAACGGGAAGGTGAATATTATTTGATAAGACGTGCATATTTGCTAAGCCATCAGAGCTCAAAAGAAAAATATGTAGTTTCAATAAAGTATTGAGCACTGTGTTTGGCACTGTGGATAAAATATTAAGATTAAACCAACCCATCTCACACATAAATGAATAAGCAGTTACTGAATAATATGGTACTGCTTTAACAAAGGTATGTGCAGAGCAGATAGCAGGAGGCTATGTGGCAGGAGGGACTATTTTTATACTTGTTCCTTTTCTCAGGTAACCATGAAATGATGATTAACCTATTTTCAGTTACTCAAATCAGCAATGAATAAAAGGAATGTATTTTCTAGGTCATAGATTTGTTTAATGACAAAACATGTTCTCTCCAATATTACATGCTTATTCCAAAAGCACTGGCATCAATGCAGCGGTCCTTTGTGATTTCTTTCTTTGTAAAAATAGATGAGAGGCTCCATGTTGTTTGAGTTTGTACTACTGTTTGGAGCATTCAGCTAACTGGGTCAATTAACTTCAATTTTTTTGCCAGTCTCATGCCATTTCCTTTTGTCCCAACCACCATCTCAAAGTGAAATTTTATATAAACCCAGACAACTGCCAGAAAGACAAGACTGAAATATTGATGGAGGCCCAGAAGAAACTGGGATATGTAATGGAGAGTAGAGGTCTTTCTTGCTAGATTTCCTTTTGTTATCGGGGAAGATAAATCAACCATATTCCATAGTCAACATATGGCATATTCAACATATTCAACCTATGGCATACCTTGGTGAATCTGACTGATTCAGTTGGCTCAAGGTAGTCTGAAATGACCCTCTAAGTTTTGATGCTGCATTTCATTGTCAACCTTTTTTTCATGTTTATTCATTCATATTTATCAAGCATCTACTGTATGTGAAGTAATGTACCTAACACTAGCAATGCAATAAATATTTACTTAATGCCTATTATGTTTATTCATTTAGTCAACACATATTTTTGAATGTCTACTTTGTGCTAGACACTGTATAAATTGCAACATACATATTGAAAAGACAATAGCAGTTCTTGCTTCATGAAACTTATAGTCTGGGAAGCTGGGGTATGGGTTAAAAGCCATAACAGAAAATAAGAAGATCCTTTCATATACAACAACATGAATGAACGTGGAGGACATTATGCTAGGTGAAACAAGCCAGGTACAAAAAGACAAAAATGACATGATCTCACTTATCAGTGGAGTGTTAAAAATTCAAACTCATAAAACAGAGAGTAGAACAGTGGCTACCACAGACTGGGGTGAGGGCGGTTGGGGAGATGTTGGTGAAAAGACACAAAATTTTAGTTAGGACGAATAAGTTCAAGAGATTTATCATACACCGTGATGACTACAATTAACATCAATGTATTATATACTTGAAAATTACTGGGTAGATTTAAGGTGTTCTTATCACACACACAAAAAAGATAAGTATGTAAGGTAATGCATAGATAGGTTAAATAGTTTGATTTATCCATTCCATGGTGTACACACATTTCAACATATCGTGTTCTACACCATAAATACATACAGTTTTTACTTGTCAATAAATGCATAAAATAAATAAATAAATAAATAAAAGAAGAAAACAGAAAATAAATCAGCAAGGGTGGATGATATTCAGTAATAATAGCTCATGTGATTGTCCTCAGGTCTGTTCTTTTCTTGCTTCATTATTTTTAGAAAGTAGCAGGTTCTATGCTCTTTAATTGATGGGAGTTATGAGGCACTGTAGAAAGGTGAAGTGTACTTGCAAAACTTCTTGCTTTTCACTCTAAAAGCCTATGCCTATGGATGATATTCAAAGTTGAGGGAAATAGGGGTTGCCCTCAAATTAAAGAGGGAATTTCCCCAGGCTGGTCAAGAAGAAAAAGGTTTGAGGATACTAGAGTGGGGAATACAAGTCACTATTGTGTGGGAACACTCCAAAAATACATATATATAGGTATACACACATAAATATAATTATATATACATATAATATTGTACTTATATAATTAAATATTATTCAGCCTTAAAAAGGAAGGAAATATGGCCACTGGTAACAATATGGATGAACCTGGGGGCATTATGCTAAGTGAGACAAGCAGACACAGAAAGACATGAACTACGTGATCTCATTTATATGCAGAACCTAAAATCATCAAAATCATAGAAGCAGAGAATAGAACCGTGGTTGCCAGGATACAGGGGTAAGGGAAATGGGATGATGTTGGTCAAAAAGTATGAAGTTCCAGCTATGCAAGATGAATAAAGTCTGGAGACCTAATACACAGCATGGGGACTACAATTAATAATATTGTATTATATGCTTGAAATTTGCTTACAGGATAGACCTTCAGTGTTGTTACCACAAAAAGAAGGAGGGAGGAGGAGGAGGAGGAGAGGGAAATGATAACTTTGTGAGATGATGGATATGTTAATGAGCTTAACTGTGGTGATCATTTCATAATGTATACATATATCAAAATATTAAATTATATATCTTAAATATATATACAGTTTTATTTGTTGATTATATCTTGATAATGCTGTTAAAGGATAGCTCATACAATCTGCTATATGTTAAGCATCTGTAATATAACAGAAAATATTCCAAATTTATTCTCTGAAAAGGGAAGACATAGGGCAGCATTTCATAGAATGTACATAAAAAAAGTGGTTTATAAGGTAGATTCTAGACCTTCTCCTTATGAGTCCACACCATCTTTTTTTAAAACTGAAATAATAATACTATTGGAGAGGGCTGCCTGAGTTAGGTGATTCCTTGAGATCATTTTCTGCTGTAAGATTTATGATAATAACAGCTATTATTATTGGGCATTCTTATCTGCTAGATGCTCTTCTGAGCACTTTACATGTATGAACTCATTGGATCTTTGTAACTATGGAGAAAGTATTATAAATTTCCCAGTGAAAAGCTGAAGCACAGAGGAATATGCCCCAGGACACCCATGTCTTGACTTTGAAGTCTATCTACCCGTTTGGTCCTTACTCTCATCTTGAGCTACAAATATCGATTTTCTCTACAATTTTTGAAAATATTTCAATGTTACTTTTAACTCATAAAATGAATAGGAAAAAAGCCCATCTTTCAATAGCTCTAATATATAAATGATTTCTACATCTAGGAACCCCACAGAATAATCAGTACTTGGGTAGTTTAATATCCCTTAGCCCATGCAACCGTGTGAGTGCAAATGTCTTTGTCCCTTCAATGCGTGTGCTGAATTATGAATATGAAAACTTCTTATAGAGAAAAATAATCATCCTGTGTTTTTCTGGTGATGATTTCCTTATAGAATATCAGCAAGGAGTTAAATGTTTCAGTTAGTGATTTTATCATACCTTTTTTCCTTTTTTCACAGAGTGAATTTCTAAAGTTATCAAAAATAAATATGTTGTTTCCAAAGTAATCACACACAAACGTGACAAAAATTATCCTAAGGGTCATTTATTTGAGTCTATAATTAAATAGCATCTCAGTTCATACACATGATGTCATAAAACTTTTCTTTATTTTTAATGATGTTACTTACATGTCAGTGTACCCATTCTTTGCAAATAATTTCCTCTATGATGAATAATGTTAAGAATGTAATTTAAATCATCTTGTTAAGAATTGCCACTGTTTTAAAACTTTGCCACTTCCTCTGTTCCTGAGAATTCTTGTTACAATACAAATGAGGAGGAAAAAACATCAATCACTTTCTCTTTCAATGTTTCCAAAATAAACACATATGCAATTCTCTATATAATAAATATTTCATATGCATAACATTATGTATTATATAAGCTATATAATTTTAAAATGCTTGTTAAATATGTATATATTTAAAACATATATACAAAAAAACACCATAAATCAAATTTAGATGTGATCACAATTCTGCCCCCTGGTAATTTAAAATCTAAAATCATAATCCCCTAAATAAGGCAAATCTGTAGATAATTAGAAATGGTCATATAAAGGGCAAGTCATTTTATTTAGCTATTGCAAAAAGATAAAGCTATAGTCATATCATTCCTGGTAGGATTATAGGAAAGGTTTTTTTCTCTGTTTCAAACTGTATCCATTTCATCAGAATCTGCAGAGCTCAGAGACAGGCAGGAGCCTGAGACTTGGTGTTTTCAACAATCTGATCTGGTGACTCTTAAGACCCAGCAAGCTTAGAATATATCAGCTGGGCTAGTTGAGAATCCAGGTGCAAGAATCTGTTAATTATCTCTTGCACTCTATCACAGATATTTTAGTTCCCTACTGTTAGTTGGCAAGTTATTGCTGGATGGAATCATGGAGTGATGGGTTGCAATTTCTTAAAATCATACAGTGTCTGGTTGGAAGGTAATTCAAAGGTCATCGAACCCAATCTTAAATAGTTTCCTGATCTTTCTTTAAATTTAGCCTCACCCTTTGGCTATCTCCTCCTGCTCATCAATCTTTCAGTTTGGTGTATGTGCCAATCACTTGAAGCTAACCTAATCCAATTAGAGAGAGCAATATATTTTAATAGATTCTCCAATCACCTAGCCAATCATTTTCGGCCACTTTGCTCACGTATTTTTGGATTGACAGGTGTCTATAATGATTCATGTCTAATTTACATACTTATTAGTTCCCTGAGGCATAAAAGAAGTCAAGCCAGGGCTGCAGAATTTCAGTTCCTCAGTTATTATCATCAGGTGTTATCCAAGATACCATGTCTACAAAAAAATTGAAATGATTATGAGAAAATTTAATGGTTAATGTTATAGCTATTTAAGTAGAAGGTTCACATCAGTCTTCAAAATTGCATTTGCAGCTACACAATATTGTTATTATTGATGGATTTTAGGGCAAAAACAATCCTGAATGATTTAGCTTGTGATTGAATTGTACAGTATAACTTCATTGTGTTTTAACAAAAATTTTCTTGTAATTCAGAGTCTGGGAGACATTAAAGCAGTTATGTATTGACTCTTTTTTTCCCTCTCAAGTAATCGATTCAGTTCCTATGGCCTTCATTTCCCAAAGGACTGTAACATCTATAAAAAGATTATTTCTATAAGATTCTATATTCTACAATACACCATCAGGCCATCAGACATTCTCGACGTCCATCTGTACCATTGTCACTTTAGCAACAGAGGTAGCAGCAAGAACTGACTCCAGCAGAAAAAACAGACCTAAAAAAATAAAAAGCCTTGCTGAAAATAAAAATTCCCAGTAAATGTTTGACAAAGGTAAAATCTACTGGATCCTGCATTTATTTTCTGCATAGAATAAGAACAAGTTAATTCCTTTAATCCTTATACCATATATTGAGCAGACATTTGTCCTTGACCATAGGGAACCACGAAATTTTGGCATTGAAGGCCTCAGAGATTATCTAGTCTCAAATAGATGAGGAAATTATAGCCTACCTGATATTGATTGCCCATTTAACAATAACTATTTATTAAGAGGCCAGTGCCCAGGGCACTAAACACAGAGTCATGAACAAAATAAACAAAGCCTTTTTTTTTTTGCCTTTTTTTTTCACTCCAGAGTTTACATTCTAGTAGGAAGAAATAGACAGTGAGCAAACAAAGAAATAAACGCTATCTCAGATTGTGATGAGTACTATGAAGAAAAATAAGGTAGGGTAAGGTATGTGGTGGCGAGGGAAGGGATGGTGGAAAGGGTTTCTAGTGGCTGTGCCCACTGTCATTACTCGCACCGAGAGTTTGCTCCACCTCTACCATTGCTGGGCTTTCTCTGTCAGATGCTCTTCCTTGATGTGCAGGTGGCCTTGGGTCAGTGACTTCTGGATAGGTCATTAAGAGATCTCTGTTCTCAGAAACATCAAGAACCATATGAGTGCAGGGGGAAAACAGCCATGCCATAATTCCGACATATTCACATCACCAAGTTTCAGCTATGGTTATAAAGAACTCATTTGAGTACATCCTTATTTTATACTGAAAAGGAGAAAATCTAACATGATCTGTGTGTTTTTACACTGGCTCTCAGACTTCTCAGATCACCCTTAAGTTAGAACACTTAGGGCTGGGGAGGCTGGTGTCTTGTTTTTAGAACCTCCCTGGTTTGAGGGAAGAGTATTTGATTGATCATATTTTCCCTCTGATTTGTCCTCTTTGCCCTTTGCTTGACTGTTTTGTTGAGGCAACCAACATTTTTTTTTCCTAGTGGCTTCTCTCAACTTGACACTTCGTGAGCACAGATGTGTCAAGTTGCTATCTAATCTTTCCACAGTCATGTGCCTTTCCTGTCCAGTTCTGATGGGAAATCTGACACACACTGTGATCTCACTGTAATTTTGACAAGGGAAATCTGGCAGAAAAGATCATTGTCTCCACACAAATAACCTAGGACTTCCCCCCACCCTTCCATCCATAAAACAAATAGTCATGCCAATTTGAGATGTAGAGCCATGAAGAGAATGACACATTATGCTGTCAGCTAAAGCAATAAAAATTTGTACTTTTTCTGTGCAGGATAGTGAGTCTTTGGGCACACAAACATGTATTTCCTATTATGGAATATATATATTTGCACATAGACTCTTTTATTGTTTTCTAATTAAATGATAGAAAATGTATAATATTCTCATACAATCAGCAAACCAAAAGTCTGCGACTAGAAGAAAGGAATTGGTCCTGAGGTTTCAGATTTAGATTCTCATAAGAAAAGTTAACAGAGTGAGGGAAAACTAATCAATAAAATTGAGGAATACATTGCACAATATGCCCTTTCTTTTTCTTCAACAGTTCCATAATTTCACAATCTGGTCAATGATCCCTATTACCTACAACAGCTGTTTTACACCGGCATATGGAGAATTTGGGATTATTTACTATAGCTTTGAAAAAAAAAACATAGTACTTATGGTTTTGTTTCTCTATAACATTTACAAACAAAGACTATTCCAGCAAAACAAAACAAAACTGAAATAGCTGTCTTTTATCCCTGATACAGCATAGCCTTTTGTTCATGCTCAAGATCACCTTGGAAAATTTGTTAGATTATACTTAATGAATCATTGTGAAGAATGACAGAGTTCAAATGTGTCAACGCTTTTGGTTTTATCACTGAAAAAAACATAGTTTATTCAAGCTTATCCACCTCACAATTATGGAGACTTTTGTTTATACATCATTCACTTTGATGTATAAGGGCTTTGAAATCCCTTTTTTATAAGGTGAATATGTCTGTTTTACCACTTTCACATTGGAAGCCAGCAACTGCGAATTTTGAACTGATATTTTTTAAATATAGAATATATATTTGAATTTTCCTGAAAGAGTATTATACTTCTTTATTGTTTTTTGATTAAACAACAGAAAGCGGAAAACATTCTTATAAAAGGACATCTATTACACAAAATATGACTATATAATGTGTAAAGTAAGAGTGTGGTTAAGACAAATATTGCAATGAGAAAGAAAAATACAGGTAAATGATCTATTTTTTTAAAAAAAGCCTTACCAAGAAAGATATTGGTTGTAACCTATTGTCTAGTAGTTTATATTGTAAAGAATGGCAAGGTGACAGGAGCATAAGATTTAAAGATAGAAAACCTTAAGTATAGGACTTTTGACAAGAAGCATAGTCTGAGTTATCTTAATCAGATTTCTCATTTGTAAATTATTATTAAATTGCATCTACCCCACAAGGATGGAATAAACAGAGAAATAAATATCAAAATGCTTATAACTTATAAAGCATTGTAAACAGGCAAGTTACTTTCTTTTTGTAGTACTACAAAACTAAATATCTTGCAACCAGAAACATAATACTAGCTCCCATTTCTGAAGTCAAATGTTATCTCTCATCAAATGTGTCTATAAAGTATATACAGCCAACCCTCCACATCTGTGGTTTCCACATCCGTGGCTTCATTCAACCTACCTCTTCAACCTAACAACTATTTACACAGCATTTACATTATATTAGGTATTATATTTAATCTAGAGATGATTTAAAGTATAAAAGGGTATGTGCATAGGTTATATACAAATACCATGCCCTTTTAGAGAAAGGACTTGAGCATTCATGGATTTTGTTGTGGAGGAACACTCCTGGAACCAATTTCCTATGGATATCAAGGGACAGCTGTATCACCTCCAGATAGAAAGTGAGTCTTAGTATGTTAATGTGGTAGAAGGGATGCTATTTATTTAAACTAAGCTACCAGAATCTTGCCAGTTGGGACCCAGCTGGTTGAGCTATAGATCCAAAGCAATGTTTGTAGTTCCTTAATGTATGATTGTAAGAAGACAACAAGAACTGAGAATGACTAAACTTGCATTCTAAAATTTAGAACTGTAGATATCTAAGTATACACTTGACAAAAGTACAGGTGACTACAATAAACTATAAGAAATCCAAAGTTGTGTTCTATCACTATCTCTTTCTACCCCTACTTATTGAAGATTTTATGAAGCTAGGACAATATTCTTGATGGTCTATGTTTCCATCTTTCTGATTTGTTGATCTTTCTGTGTCCCACTTGTTCTTGTCCCAATTCACTTTGCACTAAAACAATTGCACTCATATTTCTTTTCCTTATTCTTTTGAATAGAGAAAATTCCAAGTCTCACTGGAATTAATCAAAGTTCAGATTTCAAAGAGCAATGTCCTCATTGAGTCTATTGCTAAGAAGATTGCTACCTCCAGTATATTCAGAAAAATGCCACTGCCATTTACTTTTATTTTAAGAATGACTTCTCTCCCAGCTTTCCCTGGTCTGAAACTTTTTCTATTTCTGGATACCTGTATGTATAGCCTGTTACATGATGACATGTGAAGTGTTTTGCTTTCTTTTTTTTAATTCTTGCCTTTTGTGACAAGAAAAAATATTCTACATTAGGTCTTGTCTGCAAAGAATCTCTCTTTGGGCAGAGAAAGGATGCCAGGAAACCTCTAATTGCAGTAGCCTGAGGCTGTATTATTTTTACCTCTTTATGCCTTTTGTTATGTAGACTACATATGTCTGATTCTTAAGAGATCATAATTCTAATGTTTGCCAAAAGATTAGTCATCAATCAATAGTTAACACAATTTATAACAATGGTAATTAATCCAGATAGACCATTAGAAACTTGGGTTTCACGAATAGAAAACTAGGAAAAAAATAGAAGAAATACTTCTTTGGTATCTGTGCACTCCCAGAGCGTTTCAAAAAATAAATATAAAAATTCAAGAGAAAAAGTTAAAAAAAATTTTTTCTGGAGAATGCCTTTTTAACTTTCACTTTATGAACTGTAACTATTGTCAGTGTTATAGCTATCTCTCTAATAAAGAGCACCTTATATTTAATGTGAACCAAATGAAAGGCCTATCTCTATTTTATAAAAATAAATTATTAATAGCTGCTTGATTTGGCTTTAGCTCAAGCTAAGAAAACAGCATTCTACTTTGCAGCTTCTTTTTCTATTTCAGGTTTTATTTTGTTTCCATCTTGTTGTTTTAAATTACAACTATTTATCTCCCATGCCCCATCTCTCCTCTGTACACAGTATATTGACAATTACACTATTTATCATTCTTATTCAAGACTACAGAAAGCTACATACTTTTTATAGGCTTTAAGAACCCGTCAGGATTAAAGCCTGGCAGAAAACTCCTCTCTCCAGATTTGCATTTTACAATCCATTATTTATCATTTTTGCTTGCCCTCCCAGAACATTATTCTTTATGTACTGCTGAGAGCAATATATATATAGTCTAAACTCATTATCTTTTTCCCTTGGTCAACCCAAACCTAAAACCCAAGACAAGACTCTTATTTTCAATACTGCCGACCATTCAAGCATGACCAGCAGTGCAGTAGACTAAGTTCCCAACTTCTGAGCTTGCAATATCTAGGTGCATGTCATTTGTGTCAAGTCACTCATAAACCTCTCCTGTTTCTGATCTCTCCAGGATCTTAGTGTCTGAATGAATTGTCCCAGAGAGAAAATAATAAATGAAACATCAGAGAAACTGCTTTCCAGCTCTCTTGGCTCATTCTAATCCTTATTGTTCCAGAAATTCCCAATATATATCAGCAGAATCAAATTCAACACAGGGCTCTCCACAGCTTTAACCATAAAGAACACTTTATCCCTTTTACTATTTCTAAAGTAATTTGTTTCCCCTCTAAGGTTATTTTATTTATTATTGAGGGAATAACGGAGAAGTACTTGTCTTTTCCAAGTCATGGAACTGTATAGTGTCCAACAGTCTGAAAAATCAGAAAACAGAAATAAAGGTCACAGGGTAGAAGAGGCACACAAGAAAATTGATTCTAGTAACCCAGAGTGGGGATCATTTTAGTCATTCTGCTTTACTCAGCTACTAACCAACATCACTGCAAGTCTATCTTACTTACCAAGTTAAACAATCTTCCAAATAGCATTTCAAATGGAGAATTGTTCTACATTTTTAGCTGAAATAAGCTATGGTCCAATTTAAGGATAACAGTTATGGTAGACCTAATATAGCTGCCAAGATTAGGATGTTGCATATAAAATTAACTTTTGGGAAAAGATTTAATATCTTTTAAAGACAGATTTATCAACCCAGACTCATACTGAGTTTATGGAATCAGTATTATCCATAGAAGTAAAATATTTTGGCCCCTCAAAAAAAGTTATACAACTATCTGAACAGCATATTCTGCTTGGAACAGGACCCAGTAAAAATAAAGCTTCATAAACATCATCTTGAATACTAACATCTGTCATCACTCTGCTTTTTAGGGGAAAAAAAGAAAATGATCATGGTATAAAATCCAAATAAAAATAATTACAATTTTTTCCATAAAGTAAGTTCAACACAAACAGAAATAGTTTATTGGACAATTAAATACTAGAGACCAAGCCAGATTAAAGAGTCCAAAATTGACATGAAATTGACAGCAAGCTCTGCTGCTCCTATATTTGTGGTGTGATAAAAATACCTTCTATTGAGTAATACACTTGAATAGCCTGTGTTTTTTTTCTTAAGCTTCAGAAAAGTAAAATAGGTACTCATTCAACATATTTCTCTCTCCTCTTCCCCAATATTAAGCAAAATACTGTCTTTTAATAGTCTTTAACAAATATACTGTATTTACCTTCTAAATTGTTAAGTAGTAAAGCAAGTAGTAATAATACCTAGGGAGGTATTATTAGCATGTAACCTTTTTTTTTTTTTTTTTGCTAAAACCTTAATTGTTAATTTTTCCTAGAGCCTAGTACTTATTGTGTTAATTCTTCCTAGTGCCTACCAATTATTGTGCATTTCCTATGGACAAGGCACCATGCTAAACACTTTACTCATGTTTTCCCAGTTCACCTCTCACAATACTTCTATGAATAGGTAGTACTACTAGTGATATTGAAAGACAGAGAGGTTCAATGATCCTGAGTTAAGAAGCCCCACAAATAGGACTTACACCCATATTTTTCTGACTCTAGATGCAGTTTTGACAACCAAATTTAGGCAGACTAAAGCAGTACCTGGAAAGAGAAACAAGGACTCCAGAGTGTTAGGGAGAAAAAAAAAAAAAACTGCATGAGGATTTTCTTTGGAATTCTTATTCCTCCCTTTATGCAAATCCTTCCTCCATCAAAACAAGATTGTTCACTATCTATTGCCCCAATAATTCTGTATAACGAAATACACCAAATCTCATAGGCTTAAAACAACAGGTATTTTTTTAGCTTATGAGTTTACAAGTCAACAATTTGGGCAAGGTTGGGTTGGGTGGTTCTTCCAGTGTTGACTGGGTGCACTCACATGTTTGGTGGTCTGTTGACTATTGGCTGGAGCAGCAAGGTGATGAAGCCACATGCCTTCTTCCTTTTTAAAAAGGCTAAACTGATGAACACAGTGAAACAAGCAAGGGAAAACCCAAATACATAAGCACTCTTCAAGTCTCTAGTTGTGTCATATCTGCTAATATCCCATTAAACAAAGCAAGTCACATGGCTGATACAAACTTACAATGGAAGGGCACAGTAAAGCTACATGGGGTTGAAGAATTGATTCTGTCATTGCAATCAATATACCAGAACCTACAATTGTTAATCTTATTTCTTAATGCTCTTTTCAACTTTGGCATTCTGAGGCTATGAATCCACAAGAACAGTTGATCTATGATAAATATAAATGTACTCACATAAAATGACCTTTCATTTTGTCAAAAATTCAAAATCTTGAGACACACCCAAAACTACTAAAATTGTAATTTATATTTTAACAGGATATTCAGATGACTTGTTTTAACAGTCATGTTTGAAACATTATTTGTTATTAGATTAAGAACTCTGTTCTCAAATTTGTTCTCAAATGTGTTTGCTGAGGAAACAATCTAATTAATTAGAAGAAATTTTAACCGTAAGAATGGAAATTGAAAAAGGGGTTCACAAGAAAATTAAAGTAACAAAACATTTTATTCATTGAGGCTTCTGTAGCATCATGGTTTTCCTTAATAAAGTACTTTGTGTTTTGGTGAAATTTTGCAAAAATCTAGGTGAGGTCACTCAAATAGTTGCCTAAGTCCAAGTGCTATGCAAACAAAAACAGACATACACCCTGCTTGGAAACTAAAAATGTTTCCTTTTCTTTTGCCCAAATAGGAAGCTTCAAATAAAGTTTGATAGAGAATTAACAGATGGGCATAGGCT